TATATATATACACATATATATGTATATATATATACATGTGTGTGTGTGTGTGTGTATGCAAAAAGTCCCAAGTGATTTTCTCAATTTTTTTATATCTTAAAATTGTCATAACTAATACATAACGCCTAACTTTTTTTTTTTAGGAAAGTAATCAGTGACCCATTTACTTTATCTTTTTTGTATCTTTTTTAAAATTCTCTAGTCAATTCAAAGATCCTATTATTCAGCAAGAAGTAATGGAAGACAAAACCAGCAGGTTTACCTGCAAAGGAAAACCGGTTTACCATTTCTTAGGGACCAGTACCTTCTCTCAGTACACTGTCGTATCAGATACTAATCTGGCCAAAATAGATGATGATGCAAATTTAGAGAGAGTCTGTCTGCTTGGATGTGGGTTTTCAACTGGCTATGGAGCTGCAATCAACACTGCCAAGGTAAAATGGTTAATCACCACGTTCTATAAAACAGAAGTTATTAGGGGGCAGCGTGATAAAGCAGCTAGGATTATCTTCAAACCCTGGCTCTGTATTTATCATCTCTGTGATTTTAGGCAAGTTATCTAACCTCTTTACTTCTACTTCTGTATAATAATATCTATTACAAATTACTGTGGGAAAACTAAATCGTATTGCATATGTAAGACATCTGGCCCGGTGGGTGACATATAGTTGGCACCCAATTCATGTCCATTTCTTTTCCTTTACTAGTACGTTATATTATAGGTCAGCCCTAATTAAATAACAGCCTGCTCAAATATGTCCCCTAAACATGATCCTCATCCTGAGACAGCAGACCCAGTCAGGAGATGATACAAACTGCAGAGGCCCCACCCACCTCCACATGGCCACGCCTACTTTCTCCCTGATGCACACAGGGATGCTACTCTTGGCCTCCCTCTGAAACATCACTTTTTCATTCACTCACTCACTCATTAATAAAAATTAAAAGTTGTATGGGAAGCCAAACTATAATATGCAAGCTCCTGCAGGAGAAAGGTGATAGTTGGGTGGAGTTAACAGCCCAGGTGACCTTGGCAGTCAAGGCATATTCTCCTATAGAGGGCATTGGATTCTCAGGGAGGAATTATAGCTCTTGGTGCTACACACATCCCCTTTTCTGGACACCATGCAGACTCTCACCTTCTACTACTGTAATCTTTCTTCAGGAATATTAACACTAGAGATTCAGCTACAGTTTACTTTTTTATATATTTACATATTTCTTTATTGATTTCAGAGAGGAAGGAAGAGGGAGAGAGAGATAGAAACATCAATGATAAGAGAGAATTATTGATCAGCTGCCTCCTGCACGCCCCCTACTGGGGATCGAGCCCGCAACCCAGGTATGTGCCATTGGCCGGAATCGAACCCGAGATCCTTCAGTCCGCAGGCCGACACTCTATCCACTGAGCCAAGCAGGCCAGGGCTACAGTTTACTTTTAAGTGTAGTCAAAGTTGATCTAAATTTGCATGACATGTTCTTCCTGCTGTTGAGGAACAGCTAAACCACCTCAGGAGGTGCTCAAAGAAGGAAAATAACTCATAGGACCACGTAAAGGGACGTGAAATGTCAGTATTTCTAGATAAAAGGCGAGACCCTTATTAAGGCTTAATTTACTTCTGTGAAGAAAAGTGATGCAACTGCTCTGTGTAATTATTGGGGATCTTCCACAGCATGGCCAGACCCTGATTTGTTTTAATGTGCTTGTATCATTTACAGCCAAATTAATTACATTTCACGGATATCTCTGGAAGTATGAAAGTGCCCTGTAACAGTGTTGCCTGGAGATTGAAAATCAAAAGGGGTGAGGGTATTTTATAGTGACTGCCCCAGTACTGCAATAAAAAGCACTTTTACTCTCAGGGGTCTGGTTATATAACACAATCAGTGCAGTGTATTCAATTTATGCACTATTGGGAGCTGGCCTAAGAATCCAACTACTGAGTACAACATTGTGCAATGGGAAAAATGCTTTTCTACTCTCCATGAGACTTACAGGTGAGCTTTTTAAGACAGTCTCTGGAGAAATATACTTGGAAATAAACTAAACATATGCCACAATATTATAGTAAATAGTACAGAATGTATATAAAACATATTCTGAATATTTACAAATATATTTTTATTTCCTCTGAAAAGCAAAGGCTATTCTATGCAGACCCAATATCATGCATAAAGTGAGAGATGTCACTTCTCTTAGTAATTTTGTTCCCAATACGTCTCATAGGCAGATTTTCTTCTTTCCCTTTTGTTTATGCTTTAATTTTAAAACTTTCCCATCATCATGAGAAAATAGTAATAGTAAGCATCTCTCTGTGCAGGTTCTATGGGGGATTTTCTGCCACTATCTCACTCTACAGAGTAACATACTCCAGTTGGCATTACCTTCTGATTAAAGAATCAAAAAATATTTTGTGGGGAGAGTGTTATTTAAGTCAGGCCAAAAATATAAGGTGAAATAAGGTGAATGAAATAAGGTGAAAAGTACAGCAGGCTGAAAGAACAGCATGAACTAAGACATGAGGAAAAGAAAGTGAGACAGTGTGTTGTGGCCATAGTACTGAGAATGTCATGGAGATGAAATCAGAAGGCAACAGGTGTCAGATAATAAAAATCTTCCAATGCCATGTAAGGAAATTTGGATCTCATTCTATTTAAATAATTTAATAACTGGGATGACTGAGTTAACTCACATTTAGAGCAATATCAGTGGTCATCAAAACTGTAACATTAACACAACCAAATAAGGCCTACTAGAAATATAGACATCAAATTACTTGTGATCCACTTAAAAGGGCAAACAATAAACCCTTTACAGTGTGTGAGCTTTCAGATTTTGTTCTGATACCACTAATTGGGAAATGAAAACAAGGAAATGATTTCCTTATAAATTGAT